ACCCGTTCAAGCCCCCCTTCTGCAGAACGGAGAGGGGAAAGGGTAGAAACGACCCTGGCTGTGAGGGCTGACGGCTTTTACATCCTTTTCCTCCACCGAGCCGGGGCTGTTTTAAACGTTTGCAAACAGATGCTGCTGCAAAAAAAAAGAAAAAAAAAAAGAAAAAAAAAAGGGAAAAACAGCCGAGATACTTGTAACCAATTCTGTTTGGTTTTTCCTCTCTTTGTAATGTCAGATAGCACAGCGCTTCGGACAAGTGTTTTTAACCCCCCAAAAATCATCTCGGTGTAGAAAGGGGTCAAGGTGCAACGTATTTTACTCAGTTTCTTTTCCTCCTCCCTCCTAATCTGAAGGTCGAAGAGAATGTTTTGCTACAAAGAGATTAGATTTGGGGTGTCCCTATCTCGTAAAAAGCAACATATTTGAAACATTTTTTGAGAGCTCAAAATAACTTGGGGATTAATTCTTGCTTTCACTTGAAAATAGTCCCATACCTGCAAAGACTTAATTAAAAAGACATTGGAAGTCCCAGGCTTGAAATCTGACCAGAAAGAATTCTGCAGAAGACTTGAGAGGAGGAAGAGCATTTCTTCAAAAAACGTGAACTGAAATTATCAGTCATACCTACTGACTCTTTGTACTTGTATTGCTGCGTCCCTTGTGGGTTATATCAAGTGAAACCAAAGATGACTGCTCTCCTACTCAGGGGCACAATCTGCCTGATGATTTGGGGTATTTTTCGCAGTCCTCATTATACATCCTCGCTTAACTATATTCTACAGCTCTAGGTTGTCCTAAGAAAAGGAGAGCCCAACAACGCACTCATCATCCAGATAATAATGAAGATTCCATGTATTTTTCTCAGCAGCTTTTCCCTAATTTCCTGCAGCTGTGTGTCAATGTCCTTGACATCACAAGTTTATTCAGATCACCTTGTTATCTCCAGCGTACCCTATCCTTTGTCTCAGAATTCACATTACTATGAAAATAGGACCGGGCAGAATAATTTTTAATATTTTAAATTCAGTGTTAATCCCTTTTGGTAGGAATAGTAAATATATTTCATGCATTTTAATTGGATTTAAAAAAAAAAAAAACCACAAGTGTCTTCACATTACAATTTGCTTAGGAGTTGTAATTTAATAAATATACACTGCATTTTGGGGCATTTGTCTCTAAACATGTTGTAGCATGTATTTTTTGTGGCCTTGAATTCCAAGTAGTTTTTCGTGGCTAAGAAGCAGCAATATGAATTTGAACCATCTTATGCTTCTGGTTCACAAGAGCTATTCATAACAAAATACTGAGGGTTCGTGAAATCTTACAACAGTTTCTCTTTCGGTCTAATAGATGGTCGGCCATGAACTGGTGGTGCATATGTGGTTTGTTCGATATGCCCAGATAAGGTTTGTGTGGCCTTGGTTATCAGTAGTTCAGAGGGCTCCTGTATAAGCCCAGATTGGTCAAATTACTTTCCATGTGTACTGAAACTGACATTTCTTCATCACCTTGTAACCTCTGCCAGCTGTGAACTCTTTAAAGTGGTAAGAAAGTTTCATTTTGTAACTGTGTGCAGTAGGTTGTTTTTCAAGCAAAAGGAAGAACAGTCCTCCTTGCACACCAGCTGACTAATGAACAGCTTTGTTTGAACATGTGCTTTGTATTCTGACTTTTAATTCAATGTCCTTTGTGTTTCAGTCTCCAAGCCAGCACCTTACTGGGAAGGAACAGCAGTCATTAATGGAGAGTTTAAAGAGCTGAAATTAACAGATTATGAAGGAAAATATCTTGTCTTCTTCTTCTACCCTCTCGACTTGTAAGTAAGACCACTGTAGACATACCAAGACTGAATGCAGCTACACTAGACTCGTAATTCATTAATTTTTCTCCTTTTCTGAGCTCTTGGGTTTTTGTTTGGTGAGCGTTTGAGGGAGAAGAAAGGAGTGACAACAGAAAATACGTTCTTTGCGTTTGTGCTTTCATCATGCATTGGTAAAATCGTAACACAGTCTTTGTCCTAATAAGTGTGTCCATTAATTAGTGTCTCCACACAAAAAAATAATTTTCAGAAGATTTGTCAGGCAGCATTTCAGTTAAATATTTGAAGAAGCAATAAAAAATAAGTAAAAGCTGAAATAATTTATGATAAATCCACAATTTGAAGTTAAACAAAGAACTTACTGGATGTTTCATGAAATTTCGACTTTATCTTTTCTTATCTAGTACATTTGTATGTCCAACTGAGATAATCGCCTTCAGTGACAGAATTGAAGAATTCAGAGCAATAAATACCGAAGTAGTAGCATGTTCTGTGGACTCAAAGTTCACTCACTTAGCATGGTATGTATCTTACCCTTGCCTTTCACTAAAAATTATTCATGGGTCCATCTTAGCTGAAGAACTGTATCCCCAGATTTTTAGCCTATGTAGGTATATCATAATGTGTAAAAGTGTGATGCTATTGATACAAATGTTTAAAATATTTTTCAGTGGTAAAAATTTTTAAATCTAGTGCATGAAAGTACCTTTATCTTTGAAGCTTGTTTAATACGTATTGCTTGAAATATATCATGTCTCAGTCCAAAAAATACTTTAAAAAAAAAAAGCAATAAGGATGCAAGTATCCGTAAATCCATCATACTGTCCCAATTCACGAGCACATTGGTATAAAGCAAATAAGACTGATAAGAAAGAGGTCATTATTAATAGATGTGGCCAAAAACTGCAAAAGATCTACTGACCATTTTGCTCGAACCATAAATAGTATTCATCTCCCTTGCGTGCAGAATAAAAAAAATTCACTTGCACTAAATCCTCCTGCCTGTACTGTTCTGGTTTGTGACCTTTAGCTTTGCATAGGGAATATAAATCTTTGAGAAATACATCTGTATCTCTTTTCTTTCAAAGGATTAATACTCCTCGAAAACAAGGAGGACTTGGACCTATGAAGATTCCACTTCTTTCAGATTTGACGCACCAAATTTCAAAGGATTACGGAGTGTATCTGGAAGATCAAGGGCATACACTTAGGTATTTCACTTGGTTACAGTTTTTTTTTTTTTTTTTTTTTTTTTTGCGGGGGTAGTGCTTACTACTTTATGTCTAGAGAAGCATTTGAAATTTTTCTTTGAGAGCAGATTTTACTTGGGGATTCATGCCGAGACACAAAATAAATATTGAAGAACGCAAAAAAAATAGTCAGAATGAGTCAGAACAAGGGTCAAGGTTAATACCCTGTTTAAGAGCTGTCATCAACAGATACCTAGGGCAGGGCAAACATGCAGAATTCCCCAGAATTGCAGTTACTCAGGGACCTCCCAAGTCCAAGCAGAGTCAAGACTAAGGGTAGCTAATGGCCTCAAGAGATACCGCTTTCATAAACTTGATTAGTTGCTTTTGGGATCCCTGTAACATCATAGCATCTGCAACATCCCCTGGCAGAGCCTGTCAAAGCTTAGTTTTATGTCCTGCAGAGAACTATCCTTTTTGTTTTTAACTTACCCTCAGCTCATGTCATCTGATAGCCCAGGTAAAGAATAGTAGGTTACTAGTATTCTAAGGTGGTGGGTATTGTATGGTGTTCGCAGAGATCAAATTCCTCCCATCCAGCAGACATAAAATAGTGTGTAAACACAACACTGTAATTAGTTCTGTTTCCTAACACACACACACACAAAATGTTTTCACAGAGGCCTTTTCATTATTGATGAGAAGAGGATCCTTCGACAGATCACGATGAATGACCTTCCTGTTGGGAGATCAGTGGATGAAACTCTTCGTTTAGTACAAGCATTCCAATACACAGACAAACATGGAGAAGGTGCTCTTTTAAATACTTTCATGTTGAAGATTGTTTTACTTAGACTGGGAGCTGTATTTGTAGCTTTTTGGAAGAAAGGTACTCAGTAGCATTAGAGACTAGCCTCATGCAGTGAATGAAGGGGTTTGATTGCCCTGCTACAAGATTCTGTGGTCCCGGTACCTCCATGGGTTGTTTGTGGAATAGTAATTCACACTTTGCTTCACATCCATGAGAATGCAGAGCATAAAGCATTCCTTGGTCTGAATTAAGGCATTATGTACCATCTGTCACAAGCGTAAATCTGTACAAAGTAATGAGGCCATGAAGAATCAGGCCCAATATCTCAGTACATTTTGGCATACTAAAATAATTGAGATGCGAGCCATCCTTGTCCTGTGCCATTCATTGAGGATCTGTGACAAGTAATTGAGAGTGCTTCATGTCAAGATACATGGTGATACTGTGAAAGTTAGACCACCATTACTTGTGTTTTCTTTACAAGTGCTATGTGATCATCTTCCCCTGACAAAGAAGTTTTCACTGGCATCAGATCATTACTTTGTCTCAAGAATTCATGTTCTCCCAGTTCAAGCATAGGGTGAACTTTACATGTTTCTTTAGATGTGTTTATTTAAACACATTCATTTATTTAAAGATTTTTTAAAATATTAATACACATGTTAAACAGCTTAACTTCCATTTCAAGTCAATTTCACCTGGCATTTGAAAGTACCTTTAGCTGAAAGTATAAATTATTATTATGCTTCGCTGAACAGATTTTAAAAGATAAATGCTGATAGTTAGGCTACGCACATTTGACTAAGGAAATTTAGCCTCTCTTATTTAGTTACAAAGCTGTCTTACAGAATATTGATCTGCACTGTGTTTCTGGAGTACAACATTTTTTTCCAGCTTTTGCATGAACGCTGAGGAGAGCCTCCCTAGATGCCTTATTGGATTCTTTGCACAGAATAGGAAAAAAAGTTCTCCACAATTCCTAATTGCATTTGTGATGTTTTGTCTGACAGCATGCCTTAACGCAGTGTAATACGGCATCACTCATTGGGCTAAAGCCTCAGAGGGAGAGCTCTGAAGAGATAAGAGCTTCGCTCCAGAACGTGCAACTGTCCAGGTGGTCACAGGGCTCCCAGCCACACTGCGTGTTAACCGCATGCTATAATCCCTTTACTCCTGAGCAAGGCTTCCAATAATATCACTCAGTCTCTTGTGGAACCTTTGAACTGATTTCTTTGCTAAAAAATTTCCCCTAGCCTTAGTTTTCAAGAAAGAAAGGTAGGTCTCTGTGCAGTCACCTGAATTTTATCATGAAACTGTTCTTTCTACTAGAATAGGTGTTCATTCTCAGATACTGCTTTGCCAGTACTTTGTCTAGAAGGGCATGAGAATTAAACCAAGGCATAGACATCCATCCAGAGATATGCAGTTTCCAGTTAACAGAAGTGGTAGGTGGTATCAGGTATAAACTGTTATGACACCATCCCATGTATAAAGAAAACTGCGTATTTAACAGTTGCAGATATTTACAGGTAACACTTGTGTGCTGTTTTACTTCAAGTTCAGAAAGAGACTATTAAGTGCACAAAAGTAAGTATTGTCTAAAAATACTTTTACTAACTTCGTCTTGGTTTTTTTTCCAGTTTGCCCTGCTGGTTGGAAACCAGGCAGTGAAACAGTAAGTCACTGTTCAAATTTAAATGCATGTACTACTAAAAACCACTCAATTATCATTTCCACTAAAGCCAAATCCAAGATCTTTGCAACTTTCAATGAGATGATATGCGTAAACTCACATTACTATAGCTGCAGCTTTTGGATTACTGCTGATTTCATTAGGAGCTCATTTCCCTCACACTAGGCATATTCTAGTTGTTTCAAATTCCCTGTGTATGAACAAAACTCTTCTGGAGCAGCAACAAGTTTGTGATCAAGAGCTTTTTTTCCTGTTAACACCTGATGAGAGGAAGTTGGAAACTCTTGAGTCTGTCCTATCTTCTCGGTTATTTGTCCGTATAAACTCTTGGTTCTGTCGAGTCTTACCGTGGATCCTAGGCACTACCCAGAAAAAGAAAGATACAAGTTCCCAGGCTGCTGTTGTATCAGCAGAGCCAGTGTGCCCCTGTCAGAACTCCAGCAGAGAGCACTGCTTTGCTGCGCAATAGCTATTCCTCCTTTGTTACTACTGGCTTACATGTGACTACAAGCAGAAGAGCTAGGGTTCAGATAAACACCCATTGGACTTGTGTTCTCTGGCTTGGATCAAGCCTCAGCAGAATAATGAAACTTTCACTAGAGGTCTGAGCTGCCTAGTTCAGATGAGATCACTGTCATTTATTTGAGCATGTGGCTTCCTTCTGAACCAGCTGGTGATGACAGCGTTGTTGTTTAAGAGCTGTCTCAACAAAAAGCAGGTCCCAGCGGCCTCTGAGCAGAGTAGTGAGCATTGTAATTGACAGTAAAAACAGTGGAATGTTAAACCATATTTCTCTGCTGGATGTGAAAACTTCCCAGGATGACTGAAGGCTGAGTCGCCTCTTTCAAGCTAGCAGAGGAGCGTCTTAGTGGGGGAGGCTGGATATTAAGACTGTAGAATGAAAGAGGGCTGGCTGGCCTAACAGATGTATTTTGGCACAGAAAAGTTCTGCCCTCCATAACTGTGGATCACCTAAATAATACAACATTAATGTATTTTCTAAAAAACAGTCTTACAATGCTAAGATTAACAGCTCCAATACTACCGATTTAAAGATCTAAAACAATACATAAGCATTCTCCTCTGTGCAAAAGATGCAGATAATATAAATAGCAGATTAGTTCAAAAGCCTTTCTCGAAGATGTAGCCATGCCTTCTAAATGTGCTTGATTTAATTAGATCAAACCAGAGGAAGCCATGAGAGTGTGGTGGCCAAGGGAAGAACTGTAAGTAAATTTTAAGACTCTTGATTACAGATGTTAATTTATTAAAATATCTTGCTTTTGGGGCAAGCAACATAGATGTATGTGCTCCCAACTGTCAAAATTCTTCCTTTGGTAGGCTGCACTCTCTCTTCCCCCAATCAGTTAAATCTTTCTGCTACTGTTGTTAGGTACCTTTAGAGATAAACAGTAATCTAGTATCAAGTCAACTGATAAATTACTCTTCACTGTTGCTTGTGGGTTGGCCTTAGCATCATATTATGGAATACTATGCTGTTCTGGTTTTAGAGTTTGTTGTGTTTGTGTGGTTTTGTTTTGTGACTAACATTTTCATTTTCTTTCTTTCACAGATAATTCCAGATCCCGCTGGAAAACTGAAGTATTTTGATAAACTGAACTGAGGCTCGCTTCTGTTGAATTACATAGGTCACGTTCAGCTTGATTTTTGCCAATAAAATTTCATTAATTTTGTTACTTTCAGGAGTTTGACCAATATGTGAGTGCAGTAGACCATTAAAGGTCTTGTTGCTGAACCAGGAGTCTAACCTGTGTGAAGCATGGGTGCCTCATTAGTTATCACAGAATATTCCTATGGAATACATGTTTTCCCTGTAAGTCTTGCTTATATGCTTGGTTTTCTGAAAATTTACTTCTCTTAGCATCTCAGGCTTAGATTGCTGACTTTTGCTATTGATACATTACTTAATTTCTGCAAAAATTGTGTCTGCTTGGTCACATTCTAGGAGCTACAGCTAGAAAAGAGCCACTTGGCTATGGTACATTAGTCTGTAATCCAGAGGCAATAGCAGCTAAGCCAAAAGCCAGAGATAAGTTACAGTTGCTGAATTACATTTCCAGTCTGTCCAAAGCTGGAAAACATTTTTAAACTACTAAGAACATACCCTACACTACATAAATCAGTACAACTGCGCTGAAAAAAATACAGCTATGCCAGTTCATGTGATTCAAGAGCTGAACCAGTAATTTTTTCCATGCTTGTATTTATAGTGTATATGCTGATAAGATCAATTCCATTTCACACGGTCTGAATTTTTTTCCCTGGCCCTACGCTGTTAAGAGCTGTACGTAGTGGTTAGTGTCCTGTGCTGATCCACTCGTTAAACGTGACAGAGGGGGACCACGGCCAGAGCAAGCAGAACTCCACCAAGCCCCAGCCTCCCCGTCCCTGCGAGGCCTGGGGAAAGGAGTTCCTGATCCCATCCAGAGGGTAACAGAGGCACAGCGCAACCAATGCCAAACACCAAACGCTGGTAACACACTGCTCCAGCCCATGGGATCTCAAAGACTGGAGGGCAGCATGTGGAGAGGCGGCTTCTCATGTTACTAGGCTGTATGTCAGCTGCTTGAATTTTACTCAGGATTTTGTTTGCAGCCTTTATCAACCCTGAAACACCAAAAACATCAACACAGAGAATGTTCAAATAACTCCAAGCAACTGCAGCGTGATGAATGCAGGCCCAGCCATTATACGGATAAGCAGCCCAAGGCACAAAACAAACCTAACAAACACTAGTGCCTGCCTTAGAAATGGCACTCATGCCCTCTTCCACTGCCCTGGGATGCTCTGAGAAAGTTCTGCCTCCCCAGGCAGCCAGCCCTGCCTCTCCTGGGGTGCAGAGCCCTGGCACCAGCCTACCTGCAATGCCTGAAGAAGAAACTCACTTTTAGTGGCATTTAATTCTGGAGATGACCCCCTCACAGGCTCCCTACCAGCCTGGTGGACACAGAGGGCCCAGGGGACTGCTCCCTGCTGCAGGACTGCACCTGAATTTTCTGCTGAACAGTTACCAGATAAAGAAGATGCCATGAGCAGGGACCAGAACCCGTACCACTGTCCCTTCCGAGTGCCCCAAGCACCATTCCCCAGAGCCATGCTCCCCTCTGCCAGAAACCTCCCACTTCTGCAATGTAACAGAAGACAGAAGAGTAAGGAGCAGCCAGTGCCCAGAAGTGCCTCCAGCCTCACGGACAGGAGCCCTGCGGGGACGAGGATCCCCCACTGTCAGGGCAAGTGCTCCAGTGTATTTTCTATGCAGGTATCATCATCCAGCTACACCTTCCACAAAAGGAGTCCCCAGTTTCTCTTTCATGAAAGCTGAGTATTTACCCTTTTATTTTCCTGTTAGCTAGTGCCTAGCCTGTGAAGAAGTAATCTCTCTCACACCTAGTTAAAAATGCATTGACAGGAGGACCAGCAATCAGACAAGTCTGTCAGCAGACAAAGGCTGGACTGAATGTGCAGTAAAACAAGTTAAGCATGCAGTAAGTTTAGAGTGGGTTTCTGAACTAAACCCTCACTCAGTGGCCCATGCTGCACCAGCTCCAGCAAGCTTCTTCCCATAATGCTGTATACCACGATGTGGCTGCAAAGGAATCACGTGTATTTGAAGAAGGGCTACGGGAAGCTGTTACAGTAAGTTTGAGTAAGTAATTTTAATTACATATTTTTTTAAAGCCACAGAAAAATAAAAATATTTAAAACAAAGCGCTTTTCTAGGCACTGAGCTCAGCCAGTCCCACAGAAATCTCCTTTTGTAACACCATTAAGTTAGAGGGTTAGGGGAGGCAATCCCGCTACCGCAGACTTCCTCCTCCTCCTCGCTGTATTCCAAGACGCGATGGGCACAGAAACATCTACTTCCCACTACAGAGCCACAGCCAATTACATAGATAGGTTCACCATAAATAAAAAGATTTTCTACCAATACCTTTAGGCTTGCGTGGTAATGGTTAGTCACTTATAGCAGTGCCGGGTTGGTCATTAAGTTGCAACATAAACTCAACATTAATTACTATGTTAAAATATTTTAATTCTGAATGTGAGATCCGACAACAATTTTATCTCACACACAAAAGTATACAGAGATGTACATAAATAATACCCTTGAACAAAGATACATTTAGCCTGTTATCAGAGAGGGTGACAACCTGGAGTTACCTTCTCGCAGTAAAAAATATATCAGCACATATTCTGTGTTTGTTTACTACTATATATATTTTATTTTTACATATGTGTATATATTTATACACACACACATTCTGTATGACTGTACATACATTTCTATAACTAGTGTGATTGTGGTATGTGATTAAGTTATCATGAACTTTGAAAACACACTAATTCTTCTAAGCATGGTCATTTGCGGAATTCATTTTCTTCACTGTGCCCTGCACTGTTCTGATGTCATGCCTTGCTCCCTATTCTATTACCTCTTTTTCTCCTCTCCAATCCCTTCCCAAAGGCTGAATTTAGAAATTATGATAAATTCATCTTTAAATACAGCTGAAAAGGCAGTAGAGGAAGAACTTGGTATTCCCTTAACTTACAAGCGTTATACAAAAGCGACCCAGGTAGGACCACTAGGTCAATGATAAAAACCTGCAGATAGTCAGGAGTAATACATAGTTCTGAGCTAGATCCCTCCACTTCTGCCTTCCTACTGATTTTTTAACAGCCAACAGTGATCCACGCAGCAAGGGGGGAAGAAGCTGGGATAGAGTTTCAGTTCTTTATTTGTGTGTCAGTCAAGTATATTTAGCTTCCAAAGAGTTTTAAAAAGGAGAAAACCAGAAAATACAATATATATCCACAGTGTCATAACCATTAAAGACTGTAACAGGCAACACCCCTGTGCCTCCACTGGAAAGCTATCTAACTTACAAATAAAGGCAGCCAAATCTTAGAAAGGCAAGGCTGATGTATAACATGCTGGTTATTACAATGCTTACTCTCCTCACGTGAATAGCAGTCAGCTGTTAGGAGCCATGAACTTCATTCTATCCTAGCACCAAAGGAAGCTGGTCCTAGTTGTGAATTTCTGAAACTTTCTTACTCAGAAATAAAACTGCAACATGTTGCTTTATTTTATCAACTTGTTTTGTGCATCTGTGCTGATTCACATAATTTCTACTCGCTGCTTCCTGATTTCAAAAGATTTTAAACCTAGCAGGGAAGCCAGAGTCTATTCTCATGTATTAAAAGACATATTCAATCCATTTAACCTACCATTACTCCTCTTTGGGTGTCTTGATCAGACAGGATATCAGTCTTGATCTGAAGGTATCAGAGGTCCCATTTTGTGCTTATGACTAACCATCCTCACTGCTAAAAGTTGATGCCTCCCATCCACTCACCTTCCTAATTTCAGGATGTTGGGCTTTATCTGCCAGATATTGGAGATTATTAAAACTTTTTCCACTACATCAGAAGCACTTCAGTATCAAGTACTTTCTTCCTGTTACTTATATGCCATAGTTATGGCCACCATGGTGTCCCTTCTGTGGGGGGGAATTACTCTGTCCTTCACAGGTAAACTTGACAACCTTTAAAGATGTGCAATACTCGCATTTCATTACTGTCTACCAAGGAACCAGACAAATAATCCAGCTGAGGAGGCTGTCCTCCAGCTGTACCACCCCTCAGTGGGATAAAAATCCTCCGACCATTCAGCAGCTGATTTGGGAGCTGCTCAACACAGATTGTCTGGACCCCTAACTCCAGCACCAAACATAACCATTACCATTTTAGCAGCATTTTACCTTTTCTGCTCCCAATCCCTAACAAACCAAAATGTTCTGTTCTACAGTGCCATTTCCCAGTCCCACCCAATCTCACCAATCAGATCTCTACTCTACAGGCCATGAGAAATAATTCATTAAGAAACTCGCTTACGGTTATATATAAAAAAAAAAAGTTAGAAGAGGCTGGCAAGGACTGGCTGTACACAAACAGAATGCCAGAAGAGACCATCTGGCCACCTCATTTCATTGCAAAAATCAGTTTCCTCCCATGGGAACATGAAACCATCCAAAACAGAAGCTGCAACCACCTTGTAAAATCCCAGCTGATGGGAAACACCTGCTTTACATTGTGCACACACTAGTAACTTCTGAGCTTATGGTGCTGCACAGATGCATCTGTCCTTGTTAAAAAAAAAAGATGACCCTAAGCCTAATTTCACAAGAATGTAGGTCAAATGGCTTCATCTGTGTGTATCTACTTATTGCACACATTTTTCTGATAGAACTTCTATCCCTTATCAGGGAAACACAAAGGAGAGCTACCAAGGGAAAGAAGGTAGATGGTGACAAGACAGCAAAGGTTGTAATGAGATATCTCAAAGCAAAGAGAAGCTATCTAATGCTTAAGATTGCATCTTTTCAGCCTTTTTTCCTAGCATCAGCGTGTAAAAGTAGATTTCAACAAATCCTAGTAGCAGAGAATAAAAATCCAAATATATGCAAATACATAAATAGCACTTGAAAGTTTTTTTTTGTTGTGGGGTTTGGTGTTTTGTTCTGGGCTGGGTTTTTTTAGTATTGTAAGCACCTGTCTGTCAGCCATCTCTGGTGCCAACTCCTTCCAAGACAGCATGCTGCTACACTGCTGATGCAGTGTTCAACGTGTGTCAGATGTCTTTCATGATGGCAGCAAAGTGTCGCTTTCCATCTAAATACAACATGGACTCTGAAATAAAGTGGAGAAAAGAGAGAACGACATTAGTAACTTAGTACTACAGCAACCACACAGAATGGGAAGATGAAGACGCAATCCACACTGTCATCAAAGCATAAATGTGCTTTGCCATGAAATCCTGTTAAATTATTCAAATGCCAATAGTTCACTTACTAAAATGACAAATGTTCCAACAGAAAGCAAGCTGTCTTGTCTACAGAGTTACGATGACAATGCATTAATTGGATACTTGCCTCCATAAGTTTTGGGGATGACCCGTGGGACCTCGTTTTCTGATATAAATGTAAAATGGAAGATATTGGTTGTCTGGTGCTCCCTGGTATCTGCATCATAAACCTCACTGTGTACTCGAACCTGGATGTAGTTTTTTTCTGTGTAACAGACCTACAGGTTAAGATAAGAGTTATAGCTCGTAATAGTGCTGAAAAACTGTAACAGACTTCATTGCACTGTTTAACAAGAAAAGTCACACACCCTCATAATGCACTGTTCATTATCAGTGATTAACAGTGACTACAGCAAAGGTAAGTTTTAATCCTTTTTAAAAAGAAATCAATTCCTACCTGTGCAGAAAGCAGTAATAAGGACCCAACCTCAACTGGCCTCTGAAACATGATATCATCAACGGATACAATAAAAGGTCTGGAACTCCTGAGCAAGAAAAAGAGAAATTTCTTCTCAAGAAAAATAAGAGTGTTTGGAGAAGTTTAAAATATTTCATTGTCAGCATTTTAATGAAGGGTTACTAGAAAACAGATCTCTCTCTTAAACACAGGCCACAGGAAGTGCTGAAGAATTATGTCATCACCCAAGACAAAAATAACTAGAGGAAACCTCTCACATGCATAAAAATACACACTCTCTAAGGATACATTATTGCATCTTATTATATCTTACAACTTACACTTGCTAGGCAATCTTCATGCCATCATTGCTTAGGCCTCTTTTTTCCAAGCACTGACATAAAACACTTCACTTTCTATCAGGCTATACATGCTCCACTAAATTTATGCACAGAACTTTGCTGGGTGATGACCTCAGTCACACTTTCTAAGCACAGTTACAGGAAGAAGTTCAGAAACTATTCCTCTTGTGTACAGAAGGAAAAGATGTAGTATTTATGTGATATGATGTCTATTTGATATTGTTAGAAAACTGTATCAAGCTTGTGTGGCAAGGTTTTGGTGGCAGGGGGGGCTACAGGGGTGGCTTCTGTGAGAAGCTGCTAGAAGCTTCCTCCATGTCCAACAGAGCCAATGCCAGCCAGCTCCAACACAGACCCACTGCTGGCCAAGGCCAAGCCCACCAGCAATAGTGGTAGTGCTTCTGGGATAACAGATTTAGGAAGGGGAAAAAGACTGCTGGGCAACTGCAGCCAGAGAGAGGAGTGAGAACATGTGAGAGAAACAGCCCTGCAGACCTCAAGCTGGGTGAAGAAGGAGGGGAGGAGGTGCTCCAGGCACCAGAGCAGATATTCCCCTGCACCCCCTGGGGAAGACCATGGTGAGGCAGGCTGTACCCCTGCAGCCCAGGGAGGTCCACGGGGGAGCAGATCTCCACCTGCAGCCCAGGGAGAGAGGACCCCATGCCGGAGCAGGGGGATGCCCGAAGATGGCCGTGATTCCATGGGAAGCCCATGCTGGAGCAGGTTTGGTGGCAGGACTTGTCACCCCATGGGGAACCCACGCTGGAGCAGTCTGTGCCTGAAGGACTGCAGCCCGGGGAAGGGACCCACGCTGGAGCAGCTCGTGAAGAACTGCAGCCCGTGGGAAGGACCCACATTGGAGAAATTCGTGGAGGACTGTCTCCCATGGGAGGGACCCCATGCCAGAGCAAGGGAAGAGTGAGGAGTCCTGTCCCTGAGGAGGAAGGAGCAGCAGAGTCAAGGTGTGATGAACTGACCCCAACCTCCATTCCCCATCCCCCTGTGCTGCTGGGGGGGAGGAGGTAGAGAAAATTCAGAGTGGAGTTGAGCCTGGGAAGAAGGGAGGGGTGGGGGAAAGGTGTTTTTAAGAGTTAGGTTTTATTTCTCCTTATCCTACTCCGATTTGATTGGTAATAAACAAAACTAATTTCCCCAAGTCAAGTCTGGTTTGCCTATGACGGTAATTGGTGAGTGATCTCTCCCTTATCTCGACCCACAAGCTTTTCATTCTATTTTCTCTCCCCTGTCCAGCTGAGGAGGGGAGTGATAGAGCAGCTTTGGTGGGCACCTGGTGTCCAGCCAGGGTCAACCCACCACAAAAATGTATCTCCATAAAGTCAATCTCAACAGCTTGGCAAGATAAAAGAAAACAGAAAAAGGATGTATTTTCTACCTTGACATGTAATGCTTAAAGACCAAGCTCCAAGGAGCAAGAGGCAAATCTCTTCGTAAATACAAACAGATGCTCCAAGAGAAACAGTGGTGTACACTAATAGTGCGAGATTCTACTAGACACCTCCATCTCTTCTACTCAGATTGTCATTAGGTTGGTTAGCTTGGCTTCCCGACCTATGTATATGTGCACAGTGCTCTGGATTATATAAATATTGCAGGTCTACAACTCACCCATAGCTGCAAGCAGTTGCCCATCCTAGTTCAAATGCCTTTCTCATGAGAAAACCCCCAAAGATCCTATTGAAGATGTTCCGTTCCTGTGTGTAGAAACAAAAATCAAACTGCTATATTACATATATTCTTTTCAAAGCATTGTGTTGAAGTCTGTACTTCAGTTCACAGTATTTAACAGAACTCCCAGCATCTGAATGTATAAAAAGCACTACTGAAATATATATGCAAAAGTCCAAATGGCTGAGGAAACTTTACTTAATAGGAGCTTATCCAACTCATTTGACAACCTAAGGTAAAAACTCAAAATTGTGTCAGCAACCAGAAGCCCAACTTAAATACTTTGCAAAGGAATTTCTTTACGCAAAATGAAATCTGGTGAAAAAACAAAGTAATTAAAAATATTCTATTTCGCAGTGATATATAGATAATAGAAAAGAGGCAAAAGAAACTAAAATCTAAATACATTGCAAGGACTGCAGAACTGAAATGAAATAATGGACTGACTAGTCTTAGAAGACAGTTCGTAAGTAACCATTTCTGTAATTCATTAATATTTTTCAAAATACCTGAGGATGGCAAATCTGTAGGCCTTTTAGCTTTGCATCTTCCATCCACACTGAATTGGGTGGTAATTTACGACTCCGGAAACTTACTGTCCTTTGGAAGAGACAATAAACTTTATAGCCCACATTAGCAGAATTCAGCAAGTCAAAAATGCACAAATAGCAAATGCAGACACACACTAAATAAAAAAAAATATTTAAAAAACACCAAAAAACCTTCCCCAAAACCAGATACACTATCACTAAAAGCTGTTCCAACTGACCTTGAAGACTTATCTAAAATGATACTTTGATTTCTTACTGTAGTAAGCCTACACTCCTGATCTTTCAAAAACTTCTGCTAAAGTTCAAGCTTATGTGAATGAACAAGCTCGAGAAAGGTACATGAAAGAAAAGATGATCAGAACCACAAAACACACACTTAGAAAAAAAAAAACACTCAGAAAACACTCAGAAAAGCCTTACTCTGTTTTTTAAGTCATAATACGAATTAAAAGCACACAATGAGCTAACAGAGTAATTTAACATCAAACAAGCAGACAGTTTGAGGTTTTCAAATCCAGACAGAATGTGTACAAAATACATCTGCTAATTTTAAGGGAAAGCATGTCTCACTTTGGTAAACAGCTTTGAAAATAACAATTTAATAATGTTAGTCAGTTAAAGAAATTATAAATTATCCACAAATACAACATTGCACTGATGTCATTAGGCATTGTTCTATCACCACTGGCACTGGACGATTTCATACAAATCTCACGTACAAGAGAAGTACACCAACAACAGTCCCCCTCAAATAATGTTGTCAGGTATATTTAAAACACATTGCAAGGTTACCTGGTCAAAATATGGCCAGTTCCTGCCCTCAGTTTTTTGCCTAGATATCATGGCAGAAAACTCTTAGATTGTGCAAGTCACACAGCTGCAAAACCATTCCATTCCCTTATTTGGTTAAACATCATTAATCTTTTTCCTCAAGATTTTTCCTAACAGCTTGCTCAGAAGCTCTTTGTGCTTACACTGTCACTTTCTAACACTCTTTAACAACAGAAGACTCTTTTAAGAGATGCAGACATCAGATTAAAGTTTGTACCTGTGTTCCAAATAAAATGCCACAGAATTTAAGTGGTGAAATGGGAAAACAAAATGCGTGCGTTTATTCCAGACTACCCTCTTACAAGCACCCACTCAAAAGGCACATTACTTTTCTCCTTCATAAGACCTCAGTTCTCCTCCACCTCTCCCCTTCTTGCCTTGTGTCCAATGTATTAAGGAATATGTCATGAACAATGTTTCTTTCTTCTGCAGTGGGAGCCATTTTCAGTAAGGAAGCAGTGCTGAAATCAATCCTCTTCAGCTTGTTCACTAAACATTTAAAAAAAAAAATTATTACAGTTCAAAGAAAAAAAAAAAACAACAAACATTTGGCTTGGCTTTGAAGATTTTAACTGGAATCAGCTGACTCTCTTCTTTTTTCTTTTTCCCCCTGTAAGTTAAAAGCTGTAACTTCACAGTCCCATAGATTCAAATAGAAATTTGGCTTTTAGAATTGACTGCACCAAAGAAAAAATAAGGCAGAAGTTCACTGTTACCTCACCAATGTGATGAAGACCTTTTATACATAGACTATGATACCCATCCACCACTCCTACAGAAGAAAGCTTAAGTACTCCCCTCAAAGTAGAGAAAAACATATCAAACAAGAAACCCTACAGAACAAACATCTTCTTCAGGTTTTGCCAATGGTACAAGAACGTAAATTTATGACAGAACTCATTACCATAGGCCATAATGATTGAAATTTAGCTTAAAAGGTCTTCTGTTCAGTTTATTCAGTCCTTAATGTTTCTCTAATTCTCTGCTTTAAAATTCCAGCTTGAAACAAAAGAAGAGGGAGCTAGACACTCCTTCCCCTGCTCTCCCCCTTTCTTTTTCCAAGTTTCTTTCCAAAAGGAACATGGGCACCCAGACAGGTAAGGAGCTGTGATGCACCTAGCCGACCCACCATGGAGGCAATCAATCAGCCAGAGCATTAGTAAAGCCTGTGCTGCACTCAGATCTGAAGCAGAGCGAGCACCCTGGAAACAGAGGGGTCTAGGAAGGGTGCAGATCACATCAAGAGTGCCCTTGTCTGTCAGTTTAGCCAGAGTTTCCAAGAATGTGATAGTAGGCTTTTAAACTCTCTTACACTACTGACACACACAAGACAGCATGAAAATCTGGTTTTAAACAAATTAGGAGCATTTCTAAGTAGCATAACTTCTGAAGTTTACTTCCTTCCAGCTATTAAGTTGAACCTGAGGCATGTGCATACTACCAGGAAATATGACGTACATTCCCCTTGCTTGAAGATTTCTTCTTCCTCAGGGGTCTCAGGAATGAGTGGATTAACAAATGCTGGCCTACAGACAGGAATTTTTTTTTAAGTTACAAACTTTACAAGAATTTGTCCTGTAAATACATTATAACAGTCTTCCATTTTTGCTTACATGCACAGTACACGATGAAAAGACATACTTTGGGTTACATCATAGAAATAAATACATTATTTCATAATGTGCAGCTGCCAACAGAATATCACTTTAGCTTTAACTCTGAAGGGGCAGTTAAGTGATCCAACCACTAACTAGTATAATTAAGAAAGAGTAAGTGATGCATCTATGCTTCTTAAAGAGCTAAAACTGTACCCATAAATTATAATGATGATTATTCAAGGAGAAAGCTATCTAGAAACTCAGCAAATGAAGATGTGATGATCTAGTATAGTCTGAAACAGATACACAAAACTTGAATGGTATCATTCCTCCTGGAATAGAAAGAGCACAGTGCCATAGCTAGCAAGTGTTCTTATAATCTACATGTTCCCACGACAGCCTTATCAACAGCCAAAAGCTGTTTACCACATGTACCACTTATCAAAGAAGATGAGGCTCCCTCAAGCTCAAATTTGTATGTTTATTTTACTGCACAAATAACTTTAACATAATTATTTCTTTTCACAAGGAAAGGCAAATGCTTATTTTCAAGAGCCATTCTTCCCCATAATTTCTAATTATTATTTTTCTATTTTCAACATCTATACAAATGCTCAGAACAATATATGTGTGTGTATATATATATATACATACACATGCACAAATATGTGCTGAACAGTTCCCCTCTACCCCAAGCCTTTACTTGGGCTGGTGACAAGAGGCATGCAGAGAGGATCTTTTTGCTTGGAACAAACTGCTCTGTCCTGGTTTGCTACACCTCTGGATTTTGGAGACACACCAGCTCCTTCTCCATCACAGAGCTCATTCTCCCCCTCCTCAGCTCAGGACGTATCTACGTAAGCTCTCCTGTCCAAGCCCCAAGCTTCTGAGATGCAAGTTTGCTATGGTCCAAAAGCCACACAACCGTGTTTCTGTGGCACTATAACCAACCTAACATACCCTGTACCTCTCTGAAAGGTTTTTACCTCACATAGAGTAAGTACCCTCCTTATATGGACAGAATGCTTCCAAAACACAGCTGGCTTGTGGCCAGCTGCTTGAAGAACAGCCACTGAAGTTTGTATCTATCTGCACAAGTCCATAGTAGGCTCGTTCTCAGTCAATCTGCTGGTGTATAATTACATCAGATTTGATGTAATTCTTTTGCAAAATAAGTCCTTAAAATGAGAAACATAAACATATTTTTTTAAATGTATAGTATGTTAATGGGTTCTAAAAAAAAAAAAATAATCTCATAAATCTGAAGGAAACCAACCTAGTAACTACTTCTAACATTATCAGGACTAAATAATTATGTCAAGCAAAACCCCTTTATTAAACATATCCCTCTTCATTAAATACAGGCAATTATTTAAACTAGTTAGAAACAGAAAATGGTTCATTACTGTTGCAGGCTATAGAAGAAAGAGGTAAGAAATACAATTGATTTTTCTGGTGCTGGAGTCATAAACCAAAACTGAAACTGAGAAGCTTGTTAGTGTAATGACTAAGGAATTACAGAGAGAGTAAAATCAGAAAAATAAGAAAGTTGGGTGGTTTGGTTTTTTTAAGTTCTGTGGGAATACTTATCAGTTGCATGTTATTTACATAAGCAATTTTTAGGCTGAATTATTCTGATGACACCTATCATGTGCCTATTAGGGAATTAATGGCATTATTCACTCAAAGACTATTTAACCATTGAAACTCAATCTTTTCTGGTTTTATGGCAAGAAGGCAATTCATTCTAACAACTACTGGAATGCGGGTGGGTTTCCGGCAGGCTCATTCACTTCTGTGTTCATCAGGCCAGTCATTCAAACACAGGGGAAATTTGTTAAAGAAAAGGGTCAGATCCCAAGACTTAACAGCAATTCCTGGTATCATCTGACTGCTGAGATCATTGCTCTGAAGCTTGCCGCAGAAAAGTAACACGTGCCACCAGAAAAGATAGACTATGTGATTTATTTATCACCTACATGATATGGCTTCTACACATATATAGCAAGCTGCCATGTTTACTGTTTTCACAGTAGGACCCCAGTAGGAGTCTGAAAATTATTTTCCTGTCCTACAAATTACCGTTTATTCTCTGGATCCCGGGCCACCATGACAAAGGTTGCATCTAACACTGGGCTGTAATCACCACCATGCAGCTAAGAGAGAAAGGAAACAATTATATTTTTAAACTCTAAAATTGTAAATGTGCTTAGCAAGCTATTCAGTTGACATCAACTATGCCATCACACTGTTAATGTTGTTTACTTTCACGTTCTGTCATTCCTTCCAAGATCTCTCACAATAGGTCGCAGAGAAGGAAATAACACAAATTAAAACTCTAGTTTCAGGAATTCTGCAATGTAAATATTAAGCAGGGAATGCTTACTAACTACTACTTTGAGCTGGGAGGGGAGAAAATCAACACAGGCATTGTAAAAGGACCCACTTACCCTTTATTCCAAGAAATGCCAAAACATTTTTTTGTCAATACTAAATTGCCATTAATGCCAGCACTGTGAGGAGTTCAGACAATAAAGGTGTAACATTATCTTCTACATCAGACACTTAAACAGGTAAATATTTTTTTTATTCAGTTGGTCTCCTTATCTGAATTATAGCCACTAATACCACTTAAGTGTTCATTGCATATTTTTGTTATTCTAAATAACTACCTGAATTAATGTTTCAGTTAACTAATCAACTGACAGTAAATATTCAATAGAAATGTTAAAGATTTTTTAATTTAATTATTAATATTGCTTTTGCTTCCTGCACAGTGTAGCCTAGTTACACCCTTCATTTATTTTCTATTATTCAGTATTTAATAATTTATTACAAAAAATTATGCTACACAGTAGAGACAATGAACACAAGAGATACAATTTAATACTGAATCTGAATACCAACATTGAAATTTACAACTCTATAAAATGCAAAGGTATAAGGAAAATAAAGGTTTTTCAAAAGGAGGGAGAAACTTATTTAAGAACATGCAGAACACAGCCACCTATTTTTTCTGTAGGAGTACTGTGTTGAAGTTTAATTACAAAAAGCTGGTTAAGAAAAATGCATGTCTAGAAAGATGAGCAACAGAGTATCTTGGTGCACCTAGACTATGGGAAGTCAACTTGGTCTTGAAACACTAGGGCTGTCTCAAGCCCTTCAAAAACAGTTATTCTAGAAAATATAATTTAGATTGCTAACCCCATCATCCAGAATTCCCCCTGAAGCACCTCAAGCCTGTCATAGGATGGAGAGGAGTCACAGGAACTAACCTGCAGCATGTGCATCTTCACTTCCATGGACGTCCTCCCAACCCAAGAAACATTGCCTGTGAATTTGATGTCACAGTCTGGATATATAATCTTCTTGCACAAATCTACAAGACAAACATTAGAGGTTACTGGAGACAGATCCCTCACATCTAATATTAGAAAGACTGGATTCTCCAAGACCTTTTCGTGTTCTGCAAGTGGCAGTACATGCAAAGACAACCCAGAAATGACAGTTGTTGCAAGGGACCACACTGCTAGCCAGCAGTTTCTGCCTTATCAGACTTCTAAAGCCAGAACACGAGGAAGAAGTAGGCACACAGGTGGCAGATGGATGGCAGACCCACAGAGATGTTCAACAGAACAGGTGACACAAGCAAGGTCCAGCTCCACCAGAACACTGTTCAAGAATGAAGCTAAGAAACTCACGTGCCAAAATAAAACCAAACACAGAAGTGCAGGAAGCATGAAAGTTGTATTTTGAAGGGAAGGGAAATATGAAATGGTGAAAAGCATCTACAAAACGCTCTTCCCTCCTCCTTTCAACAAAAGCCAGAGTACTCAGAGTTCAAAGCCAAAACAAGACGAAGTGAACTAAACAGCAAAGAAGTTATCCTCAGTAACAACTATAGGAAGGCAGTAGCTTCTGAAAGAGTAAGACAAACAGATGAAACTGTTTCTATTGACCAAATTGCCACTTACTGATTTTATCCACCAGAGCTGTAACTATTGATAAGGGAGACCTTGGCTGCGTTTCCTGCTTGGTGTGAGTGTAGCAAATAAGAACTATGGAGAGACCAAAAATGGAGTCAGCTCTTTAACAAAAACTTCAGTGGAGCAGATCAAACCCACCTTTGTGAAGTGTAAGAAGTACCTACAAAACACAAACTAAAGTATCATACTGTAGGAGTGCACATGACTTCCACATTTTTGTGTATGTAACTCACAGGACTGCTATAAAGAAAACAGTGATTCAGCAGCTGTCTCAGTTATATGCATATTTACCTACTACAAAGAGAAATATAACTGAGTGCTTTAAATCAACCCATCACTCCACTTCCAGTCCCATGTAATCTCTTCCCTCTACCCCTGCAGCCCACTCTCACAGATCCTTCCTGCCTTCTATTTTGATTTCATGCAGGTTATCCAAGGATACAAGCTATCTGAGGACTTACTTTCAAATACTGATTCCTTTAAAGAGATGCAGATTAGAAAAACTGTGCCTTACAGGCATGAAAGCATAGTCAGAGGTATTTATCACACTGTAATTACTACTAGCCAAACCACTATTTAAATTAATTAGCTCTGCTCATAAGAGCACATCCAAGTAAACAGACTCCTTACAGTAATACAAGGCTGCGAAGAACTTTTTTTTTTCCTAGTACTTATGTGATTTTCACGCAACACAGACTTCCAAAATTGAAAGTATGTCTTTGCACTTAATGAGATAAAGGGAGATCTCTGTCCCTCCAGGTAATCCAAGATTTTTTTTCCCTAAAATTACTGAAGTCACAATTCTAAAAACTGTTGTGCCTATCATGCCATCAACACAAATGGGATTTATCAGAATCCTATTGCCAAAGACAAAAAGCTAGAAGTCAATCAGACCTTTATGCAGTACATCTGCTGAGATCACAGAATATACCAGGGGGGAGATGAAACAGCAGATTTTCCTGTAAAAACTGCTGACCACCATCCTGAATATTGTGTCATTGGTACAGAATCTTGATTAACCCAAAACGATACACCACCAGTGGAACTGACTGAAGCCCAGTATGACTACAAACAAGGCAAAGGCATTCTGTGCTGCAACAAGAAAAAACTAAGATCTTCACAGATTTCCAGAGAAAATAGGCAAAGCACAGAATGAAAAACTGGCTCATCTCATCTACCAGTGGAGGGTAGCCAATAGTTTCAAGTCTCCTTTTCTAATTCAGGACAGGTACTGAAGCCAGTATCTTCTATATCACAGAACGAAATATAAATCATCTAGCTATTTTGTCTATCCTTGCTAGATAGGTGACATGCATTCACTTGTTTCTCTGTCTTCCTCAATTTTGCCCATCTGGACCCACAGAAGGTCTTTCTTTCCTGCCAAAAATACCTGTTCCATTCAGAACTTTCCCTTAATAAGCACTTATTCTTTGTCAAAAACCTCCACCAAAATGCTCCCAACCAGCTACAGAACTTTAATGAAGAAGGAAGTCACCTGGTGTCATTTTAAGAGAAAAGTATCTCCAAGTTATATTAACAACCTAGTGCTTATTTTAGCTGCAAAACAAAAGTCAAAGATCTTGAACTTTTAAAGACCATGAATAAATGAAAATGAGAAAATAAATTAAGAAAGCTAACTCATGAAACAACCGAGTTGTTTTCTCCCTTAACATCAATTTGGAAACAGAAACCAAGAATTTATACTGAGTGTTTTTCATTTGTTCTCAGTGGATACATTCTGTTCTTTCCAGATTATACTCTCTTCTCCCCAAAGGGAAGATTAAAATGTTTGCACCTCACTATCTGTTGGGTTTTCTGTTGTTGGTGGTTTGGGAGGTTTTTAAGAGAAAAATCATATGTTTTAATTTTAAATAGTGTGCTCTGCAAATTTTCTCTGATTTAAGACTCAATGCAGATTCATAATCTAGGATCATTTCTCAGTAAATTATCCTTGTAGTTGGTCCTCTACAAAATTGGCACAAGCAAGAAGCTGAAGCCGAGTAATTTTGCTTCCATCTGTTCTTTATCATCCTTCCTTCTCTTTCAGCATCAGTATCTTTTCTTTTTTTTTTCCTTCCCCTTTGAGATAGTGCATTGATGTGATTTCCTCCTTGAGGTATACTGTATCATACCAAGCAGTGCTCAACAGTACTCAAACTCACTTTGTCTGCATTACTTGTGCATTCTTTACAAGAGCATAGATACATACCTCCTAAACTGTCAAGATCTTCAAGTATCCTTCCAAACCTGTAAGACACGTTTTTTGACAATTAAATACCTACATACATAGTAAATAAAAGTTAACACTTTCCTGTATGTGTAACATGGTTGCTTTGTTACCTTACACTGTTGTGTACATTCAGGTACTTTTCTCTTATTTCAGGTTGACTTCCTAGAGGTAGAATAACTTCCAAGTAGCTATCCTTCATTCTCCTAGGAGGGAGATCTTCCTGCCGTTTTGCCAGTAAAGTATGAAGAGCTTTTCTTTCTTGCATTGCTTGCACATGATCCCTGGTAAGAAAAAAAAAAACACTCCGTCCGGAGTACGACAACACAACTGCAACCCTAGCTAAAAGATGTCATGTTGAAGATTATCAAAACAAAAACAAAAAAGTAGTAAAAATAGCAAGACACAGTAAGCGTGCCTTGAGAAGAAAGTGAAATGCACATAATGAGATATGCTAAGCAAGTCTACCGCAGAAAACTTTTAAATAGTTTTGTGTACAACTGGCAAGCACATACTTTGCACTAACGAGATTAACAAAATGTATCTAATTCTGAATGCTACCAAAATGGTTCACTTTGAAAAGAACAAATCAGACATAATTTAACCTATGAGGTTTTGTGCATATTCATGTCTTCCATAGCTACTGTATCACAACTCTTCCTACACTGACAATTTTAAAGGACTGTCAACTTACAACCTCTCCCAAGAAGTAAAACAGATGTACAGTGTTGGTTAGTACTAACAACAAAGAGAACTCATCTGCTAAGACTTGCTGTCTACACAGGTGAGTTCTCCCTTTATAAGCATCAGTTCACACTGCATACACTTGATCAGCAAGCTAAAAGAAAGGGAAAATTAATCTATTTCTCTCTCCTCCTACTCAGTTGTCTTACAACTATAGAGGAAAGTCATAGAAAGAAACAATACAGAAAAGGGAGCACTACCCTTTCAGAGCTGCCTTTCCAGCACCACCAAGTCAGAGGGGTTGCAACTCTCACAAGGGAGTAAGGGCCAACTTACTGTCGCTTCTTCCCAATCTACCAAATTGATTCCTTGCACAGGTATCTATGAGATATAACAATCTTGCCCAACACTCTCTCTTACCTGTTCCTCCAAAGTTCCCTCCCCTTAAAAGTGCATCCTGACTGAATAAAGCAAGTATTTCATAACATCCCTAGAATCAACAACAAAGCATTAAAAACCTAGGGGTTGAACATGCAACAGTTCCAGTATAAAGCCAAGGAGGATGCAAAACTATGAATCCATTTCATAGAGCAAGAGAAGGCATAAAATGCTATGTAACCAAACTTAATTTTAAACTTGTGGATATGTGCCATTCATTCAGTTGTGCATGCTGCATTGCCGAGATCTGAGTGCCATTATGTTTAACAAAAGCAATTTAAAAAAAAAAAAAAAAAAAAAAAAAAAAAAAACCTGAAAGAAAACAACAGAAAGAACCTTTTCACCAAAAAGAAAATTTATCTTAAGTTTTGACTTTGGATGAATTCTGGGTATTAGCCATTTAAGACAAAGACTTTTTTTGCTTGAGTTTTATTTTTGGAAGAGGAGAGGCAGGTACAAAGCAGCCACACTTCAAACATATTTATATTCCCTCTTTTCTGTTTTAATAATTTTGGGGGAAATATGAATAATCCATGATCAAAGAGAGTAAAAGTCTAGCAGAAAATTTCAGCTAGTTTTGTTTATTTGTTTTAAATATGAAATATGGTTTACCTCATTTGGGCAACATGACTACTGAGGAGTTCAGAGAAAATAGAAAGGTAACAACCTACTCCAGAAGGTTAATGTTTGAAGTTATACCACTACATAGAAATAGAATATACTAGATGACTAAGGAAAGATGCAATGTCCAAGATGATGCACCTTTATGCTTTTTAAAAGATTTGTTTCCAAGGTCTTTCAGTGAAAGGTTTAAGAGAAATTAATCAGAGAGTAAATCAGAAATTTGTCTACAAACACAGAGAAACCAAACAATAAAAATTGAACTATATTCTGTTTTCACGAGTACCATCCTGGCTCCTCTGAGGTCAGCAGCAGAACTCTTCTTGACTTCAGCTTCAGAATGTACTCTTCAATATACAGAAGTATTGGGCTCAAGGCAGTAACATTTTTCAACAGAAAAATACTGTTACACACTGCAGTACCAGTCATACAGTAACAATATGTCATCTAAGTAATAACTAATACCTGCCCTAAACATTCTGAGAAATGACATTATTTATTTCTGAAATGGCCACAACTCTATCTAGGCTATAAGTACCAATGTACAGATTAGTAGTTTTAATTGCAATTTAAGTACAAAACCAGAATAAATATATAAGCAAGATATTTCTTTCTAATACAAAATGCCACTGGCCTTTACAAGATAAATCATGAACCAAAGTTTCCTTTTAGCAAAATTAATGGCCGAAGGCATTCCTCCAACATGCATCTCTCCTCAATCCCAGCAATCCAGATGTATGTGCATCAGTCCTTCCATAGTTCCCATTTCAGGACCTCTATCAAGCTGTTCTCTTAGGTTTGTCCTCTTTAGTCATTCTGTGGCCTAACTCAACGCACTGGCTGTTCAGTCTCCAAATGTATCAACTCTTTGTCACTCCATTTTAAAAGTGGGATCTCAAAGGCTACATCATCCATGTCCTCCAAACCTCCCCATATTAAACCTGCCATCCTCAAGCACTCCCAGCTATGGGCTCCCCAGCTTTACTTCTTCATGGTAGTCAAAGCATACAGTACTCTGCAAACCATTTCTGCTGCATTTTGTACAGCACAAGAAATGTACCTATCTAAGAAAAACACTGCTGTGGTGATCTTGGCATCAATCTGCTCTCGTTCCAGTGTGGGAAAAGAAATGGATAGAAGAACAGATTTGACCAGAGCCCTCTAAAATCTCAATCCTCAGATGGTATTTCCATATGGTGTGGTTACTCCCCAGCCATTCAGGGCTGCAGGAAAGGCTTTTTTAAAAATCAACTTCTAGAGCCCTTTTCAGCTGACCTACTGAAAATTTCAAGCCCCCTCATGCTTAGATACTAAGCAAAAATCAGCTTCCCTGATTCAGGCATTTTCTTTAGCATGCCTATAATCCTGTTTAGATAAACCTAGTCGAAAGGCCTGGACATATCAGACACTCCACCCAGGCAAGGCTCTCTTCATTTCCGTATCAATGCACAAAGTGTGAAAGAAGAGCTCAACAAACACAGCCATAAGAAAATTAATAATCAATACAATAAATATGGGACCAACCAAACTGCAATACCTAATTCCCCCAGACTGCTATACTGTCTTTTTCAGAACTGTTAACAGTAGAGGATTACAGTCGATTCTGGCTTATTCAGCGTAATGGACAGGGAGGAAGGTAACCTGAATAAAGCCAAAACATCAATGACTTAAATGATATGTAAATTAATCTAAAATTAAGTTATGGCAGGGAAAAGAAATGCCCGAGATGCTGCTGACTAAGGAGACGCCCAATCCCAAGTTGACAATTTTCCAAAGTGACATGGGTGCTGCCAGGCCATTTGTAATGCGGTCTGCTTCATGCTGAACCAGCTCAATTGCCTCTGAATCCAGTGCAAGATAAATCCACCATGTGGGTAATCCACCAGCAGATAACTCAAGAGGTAACAGCAACATAACATTTCCAGCCAGACTCTACAGCTCTTAAACTTCCATCAGATTCAAAGTTAATTGGAGAATCTTATAAGTATCAAGATCACATATTTTGTTCCTTCAGTGCTAAAGATCCTCTGCCAGAGGAATGTCAGAAGTTTGTGATCCACAAAGCAACAATTCAGAAACCTTGTTTGCATTACTTTTTAGCTGGATCCTTTTTCTTCCTCAGTCAGCAAGCTAACATTGCTAACTTCCACTACCACAACACTGAGCTCTACCTGGGTTTAACAAATAGAGTAAAATACATTTAATGTACACTGTACCTCCAGTTGGTAGATGCTCCTACTATATCCCTCAATCTGCTCCGCACTGAAAAAAAAAAAAAAAAATCAAAGCAAATCAAGCTTAGTTCTGCAAGTGATGAACGTGAGGCTGCCTGGTGCTAAAAGGCAAAATCGTCATCCCAGAACAGGAAAATTAAGCAAATTCATGCAAATGGCAGCCCAGAAACAAAAGTCTGGCCAAATACACTGATGCTGTTAGTAGGCATATTACAATAATGGGTTGAGTAACATGAGCTTATTGTGTATAGCCAACAAAGTGTGTTTGTTAATGCAATCAAACACCTGCAGTGCTAATTAACAGCTGAAGGAGACAGCGGATCAAGATCAGATTGAGGAATTTTGATGTGAAAATATTTCAGCCTAAACACAAACAAACTGTGGAGATAACAGAAATCAGAAAGTCATAAAAGAACATAAAAAGGAACAGTGCAGCTGGGAGACAGGGAATGAGGAGAGTACTATTTAAATAATCCCACCCATGAAGGCAGGTAATGTCAGCAGACAGGCTATTGCCTGCAGGGTTTCATAGCCTAGATTTCTAGCAGTGTCAAAGAACACAGTATTAAGACACTGAAGACAGGCCTGTAAAATTGATTCCGGCACTGTTTGCACTGAGTTAATACTAGTTCTGCATAAGCAGTTTTTCTACTCTTTCCTCGGATGAGGCTGTTAAGTGTGCTAAGGTCCCATCAAATCTATCACACTACTCCACCACTGTTAGGCAGGTGAATGTATGCTATTTGGAAAAACCTGAAAACAAGCAGCAACAATTCCCAAGCTCAGAAAAGAAGTTGAGAATTGTATAGTATGGATTCATGGCTTATTTACAAAGATTTCTATACAAGAGGGTTCATGTATTAGGACAAAATAGTTATGGACACATCAAGGAGGGGCTACCAAAAAAAAGCCAAAATTTCATGGTGAAACAGGAAGAGGGCTGCTGGTGACTCACGAGCTGATCCTTTATACTTTTAGGTTATTAGACATCATCAGGCTTGGCACTTTTCAAGCTAAATGCCTGGTCAGAGTATTCACAGTGATCAGCAAGCTGTCCTGTGAACTGTGGAGCAAGCAGAGCCTGATTTCCTAGGTATTTAAATCACATACCCCTCTCCAGCCAGATCCACCCGGCTCTGCCCCCTCCGCCCCATACAGCCACTTCAGTTTCTGCTGCTTTCCTGCCCAAGTCCCCACACCACCACCACTTCAATACCCCTAAACTCCCCTCTCTTGCTCCTTCCCCTGCAACACCCCCTGCTCCCACCCCTACACTCCCAGCCTGCTTCTGTTTTGCCTGCCCTCTAGACAGGTGCCAGCATGAGCTGTGGTTAGCCCAGAGGAAGGCAAGGGGCTGACTGCCAGCCAGCCAGCACATAGATCCCAGTCACTCACCAACTGCCAGCAAACACCATGGTCCGTGGCTGACCCCAACACTAGCTCTGGCACCCTAACGAAGCTCTGATCTGAAAGCCAGTTTTCACAAAGCTTGTGGAAACACGTTTCTCTTCGAGATTTGTGCTTGTCTATTTTGGCTGACATCAAGCAACAAAAGGTTCTGGAAGAAGAGGGGGACGAGAAGATAGGCAGACAAAGACAAAATAGATTGTTTAGGCCTCATTTCTTTAGGAAGTTAGGCTAAAAACATGTTTTGAAATCAGAAGAGTTCCACCACTAATTCTAAGAACAAAAAAATCTTCAATGAAAGGAACTGACTGAAAATCTTGAGTTGACTTTTTTTGGAAGGTGGGGAGGTTTGATTCTTTTTTTCTTAAGAAGCAGGAGGCTTGTTTACAGAATAGGTACTACTTTCCTGTTACTCATACTCCACCTGGGAAGCTGCCATAGCATGCATTGGATCAGTACAGTGTTAGCAGAAACACTGTTACAGCTTCTAGAACACAAAACCTCAATTTTCCAACAGTGTGCAGACTGTGCTGGGATGGAGGGGGAATAAACAGCACTTTCTCTTTGTTTAAACTAAGTTCATCTTCCTTTTCAACTCTAAAGAGGTAAAAAGCCCTGAAAAAAATCTTCGGTCCAAACCTGCAAACATGGATACACACTGTTAATTCCATTTAATACTTCTGATTTCAATTTTAGGCATACAAGTAAACATCTGCCAGGCTGAGACCACATAATTTTTATTCTAACAGTAAAATGGACAAAGCGTAAAAGTGTTTCAAAAATGTTACCAAGCTAAATCTAGTCCATTTTACAGGCTCCCAAGTACATAGTTTTTCTCCTCCCACCCACCGCACCCCCCGAAGACTTATTGCTCTTCTAGATATTAGTTATCTTACAACACAAATTTAAGTAAGTAATTAAGCATAAAAATCCATAAACTCTTTCTCTTATTTGGCAAGTGTCTTAAATATGCAAAACAATTACAGCAAATGGGGTTTATCCATCGTTATCATGTTGTGTATTTCACAGTATCTCCTAAACTGTGACCGGTGGATCATTAATGCCAGAGCAGCGGGGTCTGAGTTCATTTGCACTGTGCTGTGACAAAGGACACAAGGGCAGCTGGACAAGATCACTGCATTCATCCCTGCCAGTAAGATCCATGCCCCATTGTGCTGGTGCCTCCCCAGGCTGTATCCAGGTTCAGGTAGACCGCTACGATGTATTTTGCCACCAGTTTTGCTACAGAGCTTGGTCTGGAATTCAGTGAAAGATGCAGATTCAGATGTCTAAACTGAAGCTAAGTACTGCAGGAGTTGCTGTGTAAGAGATTTTGTATCCCACAAGCCTCTAATAAACGTGTTATCCAGCACACCACCAAAAACACAGTGTGCTGACAGAGATCTAGTATAACAATATCGCCACAAATAAGACCAGAGACATTCACTGAAGGCAAAGAGGCTTTAAGCAAGTCGACAGAGAAGAATAATAGCATTTCATTTTTCATGAACGCTAAAGTAAGGAAAAGCAGTAGCTGAGTAACTTTAGTGTTATAGCAAATATTAAAATATGTACAGATTACCACAACACACCATTATTCACATGAATGGGTAAGTGTCCTGTGGAGTGGAAAACACAGGTTAGATTAACAATTAAAAGAAACACTGCAAATTACATCTAGTAAGGAATTATCTGATTATTCTACCTGCTTGAGTTCCACTTACACACATGTTCCTTGATTTTAGTAAGCAACTGTAGGCAACATGTCCTTGCCTGATTTACAGTCAGTATCTTTGTGTTTTCAACCGAGTTTGTTCTTTCCTTCAAAGCCCGCTTTCCAGTTCCTTTGTCTACTGGCTCTGTGTAGTATTTGCTTGCAGTGTAATTCCAATCAGTTTTTCAAACTTGGTGCTACCATATACTGTTGACAAACACTATTAACTTTGGAAAGAATATCTGGAGCATTTTTCATGAAGTGGGATGAGAGTTATCTCAGAGGAAATTTCCAAAGTCCTGCTTCGTGTAGCCTTTAGGAGAACCATGGAAGAAGTGAGGGAATTCACAACTGGGACCCAAAGTTGGGCGTAAGCATGTGAAAAGCTAGTCAGAATAAGTTTTTGGTGTTTTGTGAAAGCATGGATACCAGATTAAAGGAAACTAGTTTACATGTCAGCAAAAGTTTGTATAACATTATTTCAATGTTACAATTTTGGAACAGAATGCCAAATATTTACAGTTATTATAGTCCAAAAAATACTAGTATTCCTTGGAAACAAATCAGAGGCAAGGCCAGGATGGCCTCACTGCTTCACTATTTTTACTGGCCTTCTAGGTGATATCATTATCAAATATCCAAATAAAAGAGCAGGGTAATATTTGCAAGTATTCAATGTTGTGTATCCTTGCTTCTCTCCTTTAACCTCCCACATTACTATTTATTAACAATAATGAAAAAAAGTTCTCTAACAACAAATAACCCTCCATTTTCTCTTTTACTGGATAACCTGTGGTTTCTGTTTAGAGAACAAAGGGGAAATGATGACCTCAGAAACAAGCAGAACTCCATGAAGGAATTATTTGTGCCTGGCTCCAGCCTTTTTCCTCCTCCCCTTTTCTCAGTACATGGGATTAGAATGCAAGAAAACTTTTTTAAAAGCTTCTAAAACAGGAACATTATGGTTTATTACTATTAGAGTGCTAAACCAATCTTTCAACACAAAGCTCTATTGACAAGAGCGTTTTCACGAGGCAATCCTGCTGATCTGATTAAAAGATTTGTCTAAGTTTACGAAATTAACGGTATTGACACATTAAAAGTTCTGTAAGACATTATTTCCACTCAGTTTCTCCATTTCTTGGCCATTCTCTCTAGTCGCCATAGTACCTGTCTGTACTACACTGACTTTCTATCGAGAGCCAACTTGAGAAGCAGTTGTCCCTCCAGAAGAGTCACATGCTCTTCCAAGACTGAAGAAGCAGACGAGCCAAAATCTGCAACTTCAACGATTATGCATAATTGTTGTCATTAATCTCCAAACACATGAAGTGATTTTCTGCTACTTCTTAAACACTTACACTAGGAGCTAACAGTCAAGGGCACGCCCATTATCCAAACCATATTAACACATGAAGGGCCACCACCTGAAAGAATAAACTCCTTAGCAACATTGCTAAATCTTCCTATGTACAGCCAATGACTTTACCTTCAGACATGTCAGGAAGCACTGGGGAGCCACTGGTCCCAGAAGTGAGTTTCCTAGCCAGAACAGAAGGAAGCTTCCTCATGGTGCACAACCTATAGGCAGAGTGGAAGAATTCAGTGTCATTAAAACTAACGCCATGAAAATAATTTAGGATTTATTTTTGGAATGGCGCCAATTACTTCAGAAACCCCACTCCTTATTCTTAGCCTGATTTTTAGAACCAGATAAAGTCAGTACAACAGTTCAAGCCAGCTGAAATTCCAGCTGATACCTGTCCTTATCTGAAAACAGGAAGGAAGAATGATTCGCTGGCCGCAACTGTTCTCTTCACTGACTATTCAGGTGCCCTGGGACAACCAGCTTGGACCGAACACCAACTTCTACCCTGCAGGCATCCTAACACAGACAGGGTTCGTGTGCATCTAGGAAATCACCCATGACCCTGTGCACACACTTCTCCTGCACTTGGCTGGTGTGCATAGCAGGGGAAGGTGGAACGTCCCAAGAAGGATATCACAAAGCCTCCCACACAGTCCCATTCAGCTAAGACCGGTCTCCTCCTCCACGGCTTAGTACTGCTGCAACTCAGAACAAGCCTAAAGTGCAGGATAGAATCGTCTTAGCTGTTTGGCAAGAAGGGACAACTACGAAACCCTTCAGAGAACGTAATCCACCCCACAATTCAGTAAGTGTTCTACCAGGTAGTAGCCAGCGCGACTCCTCCGGGCGAGCAAAACTGCGGTAACACAAAAATACACAGAGGGCCAGCAGGAGTAAAACCCCTCGTGATAGTTCATGGCGTTACCCTGACAAGGAACGCGGGTTGCCTGTCCCTTAGTTTTCTTCAGCTGAGGCTGGGCTTTCACCTCAAAAAAGAAAGGGAGGCAAGTCCTCAGGCACCAGCGGAAAAGGAGGGCCATGTACTCATCTCTCTATATATATCTCTCTCTCATGTATGTATCTATACATGCCTATCACGTACACACAAGCTTCCTCTGTCTGCAGACACACCAGTACTGCTTAAGAGAGTAAAAAGGAACGCGCACACACACAAAAAAAAAAAAAAAAAAAAAAAAAAGCTTTAGGGACACGGGGGG